CTCTAATCGTACATCTACTTCGTCAAGTCCCTGCTACTGTAAGAGACAAGTTCAGGGGCGAACTGGAATCCTTTTTGAGTCAGAGCATCTTAACTACAGTGACCTCATAGGTTAATCAATTTGCCTGTGTCACAAAGTCCATTAGATCAGGTAAGCTATGCCTAGATCCCAGACACCTGAATAACCCGGCATTTAAGGATATTGAAAACTATATAGTACAAAATCATTCACAATTTTGGATGTCAAGTTAGGATATTAGCAAATGAAGGTCATCAGAGAATCGAGAGGATAACATTTTTAAGCGCATTCAGAAAATACATGTTTCCAGTGGAAATAAAGAATACCCAATATAAATCCTATTGAGCCATGTCTGAGAGCTTTGCGAATACCAAAAGTATTTCCTCCATCTCTGACAGCACGAATGTTTACAGCTTCGAAGAGGATAATCTTATCTTACTTATTATAAAACGCAGATTGCGCGCGTGTGTGTGTGTGTGTCTGTACGTTTATATATTGGATCAGATTTCCCACATTTTTCAACCGATTTCAAGAAAACTTCACAGGAGTACGTAAAATTACCTTGGGGTTGTTCTGACAGCGCCAAAAATTGGTAAAACACAATTGTTTTTGCACAAAATCAATTTGAAAACACGATTAAGAGGCATTAATGAAAGGGGGACAACTCATATCGAGTTATACTTATTAATATCGAGTTATCAAGTTATTTGTTTTGTGCTTATTATAAAACCCAGGTTTGAAAAACAATGTTTTTTCAATCGGTAGACTTGAGTTTTTGGGTTTGACCAATTCGTAAAAAAAAAAAACAAAGAAAAAAAAACAAAATAATAAAACTAATTAAGACATGCGTGTCCGTCAACCTTAAACAATAATCTTTGTCAATTTTATTTTTCAGTCTTTATGATGGTCGATACTTGATCTATCTCTTACTGTTACATCCCTGGGTAACGCCGGGCTCTACTGCTAGTAATAACTATGACCAAGCACTCACTGATCATCTTCAAATGGCTATGGAGAGAGAAATTGAAAACTTAATCCTGAAAGTTTATGATATGAGCGTCAGAGATACCATTCTTCGATCACATTGTATCAAGAGATGGTATAAAACCATATTCCAAGAAAACCCAAATGTAGTTACTCAAATGCACCTCTCGAGGCTGCAAAACAGTTTCCGCGGATTGGTCATATACTTCTCCCATTTCACATTGTTGACTCTGATATGGCGACTGGCATTTTTTCTCAGTGTGTCACGTACCTGTATTTCGTGTTAATATTAATTTATGCCGGAAATATAATGAATATAATAAAAGTTAACTATTTTTTATCTTCCATTTATTTTGCAAAAAATAATTCAATATCAAAACATATAAAAAGTAATAAAAGTAAAAGTAATAAAAAATAAGCTTCAAATGATTCTTTAGCATGGCCTGCACACTGGCCGCGTACCGGTAGCTGATGCTTCGCGTACCGGCACCGGTCCGCGGACCATCACTTTGAGTAGCACTGGACTAAACCACTCTATGAGCTGATATCTAAAAATAGTGTTTATTTGGTTATCTCAGCGACAAGCAGCAGCATTTGACAGCGTCAAAGAGTAAATTTATAAATATTTGGCCCAGAAACACCATTCGTTATACAAGTCAACACATCGACTACTAGCTTAATGCATCTCTCTCTCCTTCAGAACGACATACGAGTTATTTTTGCTAGTAAAAAATTCAAGAAACAATAAATAGAGAACAGGAAATACAATACTGCAATATTGAAAAGGAGAGGCTTGCGATTGTTTTCAGTTGATATTTCCTACTTATATATGAAGGTCACAGGGTGATATTCCAGCTGATTCTCCTAGAGAAACACTCCTAGGACCGGAGAACGATACTCTAAGATCGAAAGGGAGAGACTTGCGATTGTTTTCAGCTAAGATTTCATCATTATCTTAGACTAGAGTGACAATTCAAACTGACCGCAAACATTAGATTCAATCTCATTTAGGAATCTAATACAAGCATCTCCAAGACTATTGTTGGGACTTTTGGGTCATTTGATTTATCAGAAGGATTTGTTATTATCGGTTGCGTGTCTAACCGTGTCCCAAACAAATATACAAACAAGCGTGAGATTTCAAACAAGGAAAAAAACGAGACATATATAGATCAAAACATTAAAGCATTTATATACAATTAAACATTTACAAACTGGAACAATATGTGTATTAATGCGTGCGTAAATTGTAGGTGTTGCTGGAATGTTTGATGTCTCTGTGTCGTTATGTTTGCTATTTTCTTGTTTGTATCAAATATTGGAGTCGTTCGTTGAATGTTCAAAGTGAGTCAGTGAGTGTTCTTTGAAAAGCGCGGCAAGATTGTTTTTCCAAACGTCGTGGAGTATTTAGGCAATTGCTCGGTGAATTTGCTAGACTGACTGAATGGGGCTGGTAATTTTCTTTATCGTCTGGTCAGCGATGACTAAGACGGGAGTCGGTGAAATGTTACATCTTGAAGGTTGGTAATTACAGCTACTCTGCTGCTCCGCTTCCACTGAAAGGGGCTGTCTGCCTTTCCTTTATATAACACTTGGGTTTTCAAAAGTGGCTCAAGTCGTTTTGGCGCAATTCTTGTTTCAGAAGACGATTGACCAATGGAATTGCTTGGTTCGATTCTTGCCATTTCTATTGGTTGAGGTTTTTCTGTACGTAGGCGTACGATGTGGACTGTGCCTTTTTAAGGTTAGAGAAGGTTAGAATACTAGAAGAGTCCACACTATCAAGACCGCTTATCAAGATTAAAGCTATGATTTAGTGAAGGAAAGTAAATCCCGACAGCTAATCTTTTGTTAAGTGAGTCGCCAAATCTGGGCAAAGAGATTGAAGACATTGACTATTTTCTGAATAGCGATTAACAGAGACATTGAGTACATGGTTGCTAAATGTTCCACATGCCAGAAATATCAAGTGATCACCCCATCAGAAACTTTGTTCGTGCATAAGACCTCTTGCTAACCATGGTAGTATGTCAGCACGTGGCTTTTCACAATGGAATACAACAATTACATTCTGATGGTTGACCATTTGTACTCTGCATTCATTCTATCAAATCTGCTGAAATTAAACAGATGAAATAAATACTCGATGAGTAAAGAGTATTTGATCTGCAGGAATTTGTTGATTTTACAGAAAAAATCAATTTCATACATACAATTAGCACTGAAATATCCTCAGCCAAATGATTTTGTCGAGAGGATAGTAAACATATGTACAAATCTACATTTGAAAGCGCAAAAAACTAGCACCGACTGTCATTTGGCCATGACATCATGTCACACATCTTTCAACCAGCATCAAATCCCCAGGCGAGTTGTTCAATAGTAGATCTTTTCGAATATTACTAGTCTCTAAAAGAAACAGCTCAGTGAGGAACAAATGAAAAAAGTAAGTGGACTAGGCAAAAACAAGACAAATGATTGTTATGATCAATAGAATAATCGCCGATATTCACCGTTGGATCCAGTCCAGGATGAAAAGACTGACTTGTAAAAATCTGAAATAATTAAACAGGCTGCTGCAAAGCCAAGGTCATACTTACTTGAGAGGGGGAGACTCACTTCGTCCATACACATATTTTTTTTTTTAGAAAACTTAAAACAATGCTGCTGCTGAACAGATGACATCAAATAAAGCCTAATTCAAACTTGTAGCGGATGTAATTTATATTCAACTTATTCTGAGATTTGCAGATGTGTAGAGAAATACTTTCAGAAAAGAAATAACAAAAACGGTGATGGATAAAGGAATCCAAGCATTGCAAACAAATAAAAACAAAGCAAAATTTTATCACAAAAATATATATATAGTTTCGGTATAGTTCTGAAAGAAAAATCTTTTGTGATAAAAAAGAATAAAGATAAAATATTTGTTCTGGGAGATTTAAGTTCCATTCAAATAAAAGTCCTCTTTATAACTATAGCTCTAGTTGAAAAGAATTTTACATTCGTCGGTGTCGAAAGGAATATGTTGGCCGAACAGTTGCTCTCCCTGTGATCTATCCGCTTCGTGAAAAATTTCCCTACTGACGATCGGATAGTATTTTCCTTTCTTATTCTTTTTTAATGAAGTTGCTAGATCCCAAAATTAATAAAGTTCTAATTAGGTAAAAATGAAAAAAAAGGGAATTTTCTCACATATTAATTAGGCCTACGTCCACGCAACTTGAATTTAAGTGCAGTTTACTGTAGGAGTCTTTAAAAAAAACGAGAGGAGGTGCGAAGAGAAGGGTCTGGATTTGAATTTGTTGTTAGCAAGAATATAATTAGAAGATAAATATGAATACTTACATATTTTCTTTTAAGTTTAACTCTCTACTTACATGATGTGGATGTTCGCGTAATGGTTATTAACGCGGAAAGTGGAATAAACGAGTTGAGATCAAGTTCTGGCTTCGTCTTTTGCGTCCATTTCGCTCTAATGCCTTTTTGGGAAGGCGTGAATCCATCTTCCCTCAATCCAGCTGGGAATCGATAACACTAAGGGCCTAGGGTAGACTGGACTTTCTTGTCTTTGATGGCAGCTAACCAGGAAGAACAAATTTGATTTCAAAACTGTGGAGAAAGCAACGAAAAACCAACCCACATTCGTCCCCAAAAAAGTCATAGCAATTATTAGCAGATAATAAAGAAAAGGAAACTGTGGAGAGACATGACCGACCACACATCCTGAAGTGAAGTGACATGGCATGAAAAAGTGAGAAATGACAAACTTTTTATAAAGTAAAAATAAAAATACGTAGACAAGTTTTTATTTTAAGGCAGAAAAAAATTATTTTAGTTATTTTTTTTCACCGAGTTTTCTGTAAATTTTAAAGAAACGTTTGAAGAAAGAAGCAAAACAGTACTTTTTAGGCAAAGGTATCGCGAAAAGCTTTTTCAATTAGCAACAGTTTTTTTTTATTTACAAAAAAAACTTTGCCTAACAAAAGCAAACAGAGATGAAGGAAGCGCCTAGTAGGAACCTAACTTCCAACATGAGTTTAGTTTGCCACACGAACTTAACTAAATTGCTTCTTTAAACAGATAAAAAAAGCACTTGTGACTGACTTTTGACAACAACGGTAACAATTTTTGTACGTGATCTCTTCCAAACAAATTATGAAAGTAACTTATATTTGCTTCAATTTCTCAAGATTTGAAAAATATAAAAGAAAAAAAATGAAAGATTTATATCAATATAGTGAAGACTGGAAAGGGTTTTAACTTTTACCTTTTTTAAAAGTTTGTTATTGGGGAAAGATGCTGACGTACTTAAGTGGCGTTAAATGTCCTATTCAATTTGCAACTTGTCAATTTATGTGACTCTCGTGTGCGCTTGTTTCTTTCCTTTTCTTTTTCTCCCGCCTTTTCCTTTTTTTTTTTTTTTCAACGATTGAACTAAAAAAAGATTACAGGCAAATGAACTAAAAGTTTTTTTGATCGCAGTTACCTGAGAAATCAGCAACTGTCACATACTATTTTTTGATAAATTACAATTTATAAAGAAAGAACAAACTCAAACACAAAAAACTAGGAATTATTTAAAGGACTAAAAATGTAAGTCGAATAATCTTTTTTGTCATAAATCTCTTTTATAATCTGTGTTACTTAATTTTTTAAATGCCGTTTTTACTAATTTGAGGAAAGTTATTTTTTTTTAAGTTTAATTATCAAATCTAAGCATTAAAAACGAATTTTTAACGTGTACTTTTGTATTTTTTCTTTTAATTATTGTCGAAGTATACATGGTATTTTTTTCCATTTCAAAACGTTTTAAAAGATTTCAGTCCACGTTGGTGGTGGAAAGCAATGCAACTTTTTCCGGGGTTGATCACAGACACAACTCGCCTTTAAAACTATTCAATGACAGATTCTTTTAAATCAATTTTCGTAAAAATTTTGAAAAAAATTATTTATTAGAAATTAAGTTTCTGTTTGGCTTTAGTTAGAAAGTTGTTTACTACTGGCAGTACTTTGTATTCCAATATTCAGATGAGCCAGACAAAAGGCCACACAGTTGTTGATGATAAGAGTCTTAGTCTCCATTCGAACACCGACCGCTTACATTGTGGATGGATGAGAAAAAAAATAACAATCACGAAGAAAACTTTTTTTTTTAGTTTTTTTTTCGATTGTTCTAAAACCAGGAAGAAAAAAAGAAATAATTTTATTGACTATTGTAAACATTACTGCTTAAACAAACAGGAAATAAATTACATTACAATTACATTCATAAAGTCAAACTACGACGATCATTTTTTTTTTATTTTGTCAATCAAATAAAATTTCCTCGTAAACATTTTAAATTTGCAGCAATTCATTCAGGTCAGTGGTTCGTCGTGTCTTTCTTTTCGTCTCTTTTTGCAATTTGCTCCTTGGCATATTTTTTTTTACTCGTTAAGGATTTTTTATTTTTTTATTTCTGACCTCGGTAATAATAATGTTGTCAACAACGAAAATTACGAAAAACATCAGCAGTTATAAAAAAAAGAAAAAAAAAAAGCAACCATGAAAACAAATTCAGAATTCGGCACAAAAGTTTTTAAAAATCCGATTTTAATATTTATTTTCGAAAAGAGAAAAAAAAATGTTGCGACTGCATTCATTTTGATAACCATTATTGACTGAAGAAAGGTTATCCTTCATTACAGTGGCGGCGGTGGCGTCAGGGTTCACTACAGTTAAAAAAAAATGCTTCTTACTTAACTGAAAAGATTTGTTTAAAAACAATTTGTTTGACTCCGAATTGATTTATTTATTCATTACAAATCCTAAACACACTACTAAACAAAGACACTTTACATGCCATAAAATTAAAAACATTTTTGTGTCAACTTTAAATTCTGCAACTCACTAATAAATTCCCCCAGTCATCATACAATTTCGTATATTGCAAATGTTGTCTTATTGTGGTGTTTGACAGCCTTCTTCTGCCATACGAGTAAATTAAAATGTTTGTTGAGATGTTTTCGCTCACCCAACAAAAAAGAACACCTTTCGATCTACATTTTATTTATAAACAAACTAATCACTCCGCAACAGTCCATCGGAGCCCGACAGAAAATAAGGCTGACCAAAAATCTGATACTAATGTGTGTGTGTCTGTGTGTGTGTGTGAGAGAGAGAGAGTCGAGTAGAGTCGAGCCCAGCCACAACCACAGCAGTGGTTCCCCCCAACCTTTTTCTATTCATGGCACCCTTTCTTTGAGTGATGATTTTTTATGGCTCCCTCCTACCCGTTTAAGCACATTTTACAATTTCTTCAAAAGTGCTTGTTTTAAAAGCCAAACCAGTTAAATGAAAAACTTGTGGCAGGATTAGGTAGCAGTAACACTGTGGCATGCTAATGAGATTTGGTATAAAATTGTTAAGAAGGCTTTGGTGAAGGTTGCGTTTTTGATTAGCACATCACATTTAAATTTTACAAAGAAACACAAAGAAGGTATAACAAGAGATTATTCAGTAATCAACAATAACATGTATTGAAAAACAAGCGAGTACAACAATTGTGTTTGGTGAAACAAAGTTAAGAAAGAGGAAGTAGTTCCCCCTGTACTGATGTGAGATTGTAAAAGAACTTTCTTGTTTAAAATGTTCAGAGTTCAGCAATATGTGATAACTGAGTTTAAGTATGAGAAAGTTGTACAAAAGAATGATAGAATTCTGAGTTGGTTACTTGGCTTTTTGGACAGACAGTTCACAGCGTAGTGCAATTGTAATTTTGTGTCTCTGTGTGTGGTAGAAGAATGAGAATTCACATACGTAGTTGAGCTCTGGAGATTTACTGTTCTACTACTGTTCTTTTCTTTGATTTCGTGTTATTTATACTTTCTGAATAGGCTCCAGGAACGTTGAAAATTTGTTGAGTTTGTGATCCAGCCACATGTAGGAATGTAGCAACCTGTATTTACTCATCTTTTTGGCTACTCCAGCAGCAAGTGAATAAAAATCATATTTTTGTTTCCAAAACCTATAATTTTTGCCCAGGTTTCTTTTGAAGTTGATGTTCATTGGTGTATAAAGTTAACATGAAGTAAAAAACTCATGGTAACCAAACTGTTGTTACTTAAGGGGTTGTGTGTTGAACAAAAACTTTGTGCTGAGTTGGCTGAAAAAATAGACAAACAAAAGAGTGAAACAAAACAAGATAGAAATACTTATTCTATCAGGAACATTTTTCACGTAGGGAAGATTTCCGGGAATGCTTTATGTAAATAAGGGAAGAACTTATTCTGCTGGTGAATTAGCAAGTGAGTGAGGTGTTCTGTCTATTGCATGGAGCACTAACTTTAGTGTCCTTCCTGATGTCGAACTGCAGTGAAAGAGAACTACTATGTTTTTTTTCTTTTTATGCATGCTCCAAACTTGGAAATGGGTTACTTCTGTTGATGAGGTTTTCTATGTGTGTGTGTCTGACAAAAGAGTTTAACATTTGTTACAGGTGATTTCAAACTCATTTTCTTTCCTTTTTAATTCTGATTTACTCTTCTGAATTTTTTTCAGGCTATCCACATGTGTATCAATTCTTTATGGCAGCATGAATTTCAACAAGGAAATGTTTAGTTTTTGTTTTTGTTTCCAGGGTGAGCTGTTTTGCCCTCTTTTTTTTTCTTTATGTATCTTGGGAGCTGCACAGTGTGTGACAATATGCAAAATAGCTGGATTACTTTCTTCACAATCAATAGATGCTCCAGGTCTGTTAATTGCTGGTATTGTTTGATTGCAATCTTCATTTTCAACTGTTTATTAAAGATTTTTCAGAACACAGATCTCTTTGAATGGCTTCAAGTGTTGGTACCAAAATTCTATCTGAATTTTATCTGTTGTATCATCCCCAGAAGTTTTTTAATCATTCAAATTATTTCTCTATATGAATGTCAAAATTCAAAGTATAACTCTATGCATATTTGTTATGAATGGCAACCACACAATACACAAACTCACTTGATGGTTTTACTGGATGAGAGATTGTCTGTTCTTGCATGTGTACACATGCAAAAACAGACAATCTCTTATGTGTAAGCTCCTCAAGTTACATCAAGTCTGATCTACCATATCTCAAGATATTCAAAATGGTTGGGTACTTTCCAGAGAGACATTGTATATAGATTTGATATATGATCTATACATCAGTTTTATAAAGTGGTATGTGAAAATTTCCAAGCTGATTATTGTAATATTTTTTGCTAAAGGTGAGAATAAACATTGAAATTTTAACAATTTTTAATTATTAATTATTTTAATTATTCTTATTTGTTAATTGAATATTCATCATCTGTAAGTATGATTTTTGTAGTTAGCTTAAGCTCTTAATTGAATATTGTTTTAGAGACAGGTTTTTGTTTTGTGAAATTTATAAGAAACACATTTATGTTTGTGTATGTATGATAAGGAGGTTACATAAAAAATATGTAAAAAAATTTCCTTTTATTTTACTTTTTTTTTCACTTTTGCAAAAAAATAAAAATAAATATTTCTATACAAACTCCTTGTAAGTTTTAAAAAAGAAACAATAAATTAATATTGGATAAATATTGTTTTTATTTTCTCAACAGTTAAGATGTTTTCTTTTTCACCCCTGATTTTTCAGTCTGATTGAAGAAGTCATGCATTAGTTTTTACTAAATTTCTTATTCAGATAGTTTGGCTCTCTCATTAAGAAAATATGTCAATTCAACATCTTTTTTTAAATATTTTGATGACACTCTATAGAATGTATAATTTCTGATACAAGGCCAGATTTATAAAACAAGAATGAAACAAGGGCAATAAGATCATTGAAAATTTGTTGAAAAATTGTCTATTTTGCATAAAATGATAAATTAGAGATTTGTTAATGAAAAAGAAATTGATGATGTCATTGTCGAAAAATTATTATTGAGTTAGAAAAACCTTTTATGAGTGACATTGTTATCAAATCTATTTTGGTTTCAAAAGTATCAGTATATTTTGATATTTTTATTTCTTTTCAGGAATTTTAAAATAGTTCGAAAAGCAAAAGAGTGAGTAATATCAATTTTATTAAAATTCTTGATTGTTTCTTTAATGAATTTTCAAGTAGATTAACATTATCAGAACTCATTGTTCAATCTAAATCAGTTTTTATCTTATCTGAAAAAGTGAAAAAAAAAGTTAAATAGCATTTGGTTATAGAATTTCCTCTTAGTTAACAATATTTGTCTTTTACCTTGTAACAGTAATTATCTAAAATTGGTTAAGTATCACAATGTATAGAAGCAAATTTTAATCATAATCATTGTAACTAACAGGCCACATTGTAAAACCACAAACAGAATTTCTGACCTCTTGTCTTTTATACAAACCTGTTTGAAATGATATGTCTGTAGACATGTAAACAAGAAAAATGAACATTTCTTCAGCATTTCAAGTCTATTTGTTAGTCAGAGACCTTCTGCAAAGTCTGTATAACCCCCCCCCAAAAAAAAAACGCAGTGATAGGCCTTAACATGACCCACTGGCCCATTGAACCTTTGACAAAGGTTCTTCTAGACTGGTTGCCAACCAATCAACCATTAATGCAAAGTGAACATCACATTATCGCAGATGGGATTTGAACTTGCTTTGCTGAAGTCATTTTCTATGCTATTTACTGTTAAGTCACTTGCACCTCTAATAAACTTTAATTACCAAAAATAAAAAAATTAGCAAATTAAAAGAAAATTTTTGATTAATATAAGTGAAAGTATTGAAAAATTATTTTATTTCTGATAAAATGTCCTGTGAATTTTAAAATATGAAGTCTTTTACAATGGACACGTAAAAATTGATTTGAAAAAAAAAATATTTGGAATATGAAAAAAATATGTGAAAATGTGTATACTAATATCTTTATTTTTTCTACTTTTCCATATAAAGCCAGGACATATAGTCTGACTACCATTTTGATTTCAAGATGAATGCCAAAAATTAAACCACTAGAGAATTTAAAAATGTAATTGTTGACGTTTAATTCAGATATAGAATCTATATCATTTACTTGGTCCAACAATATAAGAATCAAGTTATAATTAATTCAAATTTGAAGTTTATATACATAAACCTACACATATACACACATATATTTTACATTGGACATCAGAGTAAAGAGTTCATTGACAAATGGACCACTTATGAGGGTCATTCAAAAAGTTCTAAGCCTCACCCAGAAGAAGTTAGAGAAACAAGACAGTTTTTCACTATTTTTCAATATAGTCCCGCTTGACATCACTGCACTTGGTCTAACAATGCTTAAGCACTGCAATCCCATCCTTTCTTCTACATTTTGACTTGATTGCTTCCTTCAATTGTCTTAATTCTGATGCATAGTACTGTTCATTAATAGTTTATCCTTTTTCCAGGAAGTCTAGAATAAAAAAAAGCAGAAGCCATCACCTTGCCAACAGATACTGCTTGCTTGAACTTCTTTGGTTCTGGTTCGAAGTGGTGGACCTAAGTTTCATCTTGAATTACTAATCTGTGGTGGAAATTCTCAGGGTCAAGTGAGTCAGAAGTGTTCTTGAAATGTCAACCCTTTTCAGCTTCTGCTCTGGTGTCAGAATTCGTGAGATTAATCTTGTAGACAGCTTGTTTATCCCCAAGATCTCAGTTAAAACATTATGGACCAAACCAGAACTAATGCTTAAGTGTCCATCATACATGAATGGCATCAAATTGTTCATCAGTAGTTGAGGTTTTTGGACAACTTGACTGAGAGTTATCTGTGTTGTCCCTGCCCCACTTGAATTCTGCAGCCCACTCCTTCACAGTTGCATAAGAAGGCGAGTCATCAGTAGTTAAAATATTGCTATTCAAGGTTCAGTTTCAGTCTTAAAATCTTTGCAGCTAATTTCCTTTCATCCATACTGCCTTGTCTTTACGGACAATAATTTGGGAGAGGATTTCATATTTGTTTTGAGTCTGTCATTGGTTGGCACAGCTGAGAAAGAAGAAGCAAATTCTTCCACAGCAACTCTAGAAAATTGGTTGACTGGAAAGGGTGTCAGTTTTATTGGGTTAGTCATATGGAAAGCACTTTGGCCTGTATTCTGGGATCTTTAATGTTGAATGCATTACCATCTCCAGCTATTAAACAATGCAGTTACTTTCATGAAAGTGAAATAAGGAAAGTTCTTAATATTCTGCATCTTTTCTCTGTTTACATTTGCAATACCAACTTCAAATATTTTCTTGCAGGTCAATCCACTTTTTGTGATTGTTACCATTTTAATTTTTCTCAAATGTCTTTTTTTGTAAAATTCTGGAAGCCAATTTTTTTTATTTTGCCAATGTTTTTTAGTTTCTCTTTTGACTTTTCACTGTTTGAATTTTGTCAATTTCTGATATTGTCTTCTTATCATTCAATAACTTCATAATATCTTTTGAGGTTATGTCTTGTAATAACCTCAGATAAATAATGGATCATTCCATTTTGATTGCAAGAAAATATGGAAGATAAAGATATATTCAAAACACAGTTTGGTTTTAGTGAGGAAACGAAAGGTTATAAATAAGAAAGGAAGTGAAGATAGTAGATGCATTTAAGGCTTACTTCAGTGAAATGGAAAACATTGTCAGTTTTTATTCATTTGTAACCTCTTACTTCTTTAAATAATGACCTGCAGCTATACTTATGATTTATTGCAATCTTTTGTTAAAGTTATAAAGCTCAAGTATTTAATGATGCAATAGGGGAACTTCCATGAGTATTTTTAGTAATAGAACTTGCAAGGCATTTATTCAATCAAGAATTGATTCATCAGAAAATTTAAATAGGAAATATAAACATAATTATATTTTTTGTATAAATCTTAAAATTTCACTAATGTCAGTTGGCTAAGACTGATTTTGTTGTGCAAATATTGACTTGTGTAATAAAATCCGACAGTGTAATTTATGAAAAGCTTTTTACATTCTTAATTTCATAGTAAATTTGATTGTCAAGATGTGAACCTGCACCTCTAGGTTTGGAGTATAGGAGCATTACTGAGCTACCATTTTGGAAAACTCAATGATTTCTATATTTACAACTAATCAGTCTTCTTACTCATCATCTTTGTTATCAATATTTCTGGATGACAACCAACTTTAGCACAAGATGCAGACTTTTTTCTTTTATGACACATGACCTGTTATCTAACCACAAATGAATTTATATCATTTCTGATGTGTGCATAGCCAACAGTACTTCATTTTCATTTTCTCATGTCTTTATTATTTACACACCTGTTCGTTTCTCATGCCTTATATACCTGTTTGTTTTACCATACCTTTATTATTTATATACCTGTTTGTTTCTTGTGCCTTAATTATTTAAACATACCTGTTCATTTCTTGTTTCTCATGCTTTTTTCATCTACACAACAGTTCCTTTATCATGTCTTTATTATGGATAGGTTTAAGGCAAGACGATTGCTATAATTTTGTTTTCACCTTGGTTTATTGCCTTTTTCAAATATTATTGTGACAATGACTTGACACAGGAGACATGATAAATTCATTGATAGGTCTGTCAAATCAGCTTGTCTTACAAACTGGTTTGATTTCTTTCTAAATTCTGTATCTTTGTTAATAAAAGCCCTGATGAAAAGAATTGTGAGTCTAGTAAGGAATTTAAGAAGATTCATATTTGTGGATTGATTAAGAAACTTTCATTGTTTTATTTCTTTTTATAAGGGTAAAGTGGATCACAGAAAAGGTAAGGTGTTTCAAAATCTAATACAATTTGCTTTTCTTTTTTCTGCTCTGATGACAGTGAGGTAGATCCTTTTAAAGTAATAATGATCCTTCAGGGTCATCACTATTGTAGAAACTTTCAAGATTTTGTTATGAGATAATGATTTCATTTGTTCAAGCACAGAAATTTCAAGCTTTCTTATTTATGGCTATTTGTATTTGCAGGTTTTTAAAAAAAGATCTTACATTTCAGCTTCTAACATTTGATGACAAACTTTCATGTATTTCATTGCAATAGCTCATCAACAGCAGATAGGTGATAGGCACAACTGGTTTATGTTGACTGGTGAGACTTCAAAAATACTTCTCTCTTTTATACATGGAAAATAAGGATCTAAAATTGATTGTAGCAAAGAATGAAACCCTAATGTTATTTTATGTTACTAAGAGTACAACTATATAAATGCTTTTGTTATAAGACTTAAATTTAAAAAGTTTTTTTTTATTTTATAAATCATTGTTTGAACACTTGTCATGAAATGATGGCTAACAAGCTCATCTGTTTCATTACAGAAATGAGGATGAGAATCATTATTCTAATTTGCGTGTGTGCCAGTAAAAAATGCTCACTTTCTTTTCAATTTACTGGAGTCGACTTGTGATTTGCTCAGATTTTGATTAAATCACTTCCAATTGTTCCTTATTGATAAACTAATGAACATTTTAATGTCAGTTAATTTTTTAATGTCAATTAATTTTGTAATGCTTTTAAACAAATCGGATCTTTCTAAACCTGTTCATTTCATACTGACAAATTGTATGAAATCAGAATCAGTTAAAATATAAAAAATTGAAGCAAGAAATAGTAGTTGTAATAATATATAAATTGTATATAGAAATTTTTTTCATAAACTTATTAATTCAAGTTTTATTTAATTTTCATAAATATTTTATCTAAACTTCATGTTTAATTTAAAATTCTTCATGTTTTTTATTGTTTGAAAATGGAGTTTCTGGCATGTTTGTGTGGATTTTTTCTAATTGGAAGAAAGTGAGAGTAAAATATGTTGGCAATACAACATTAAATTTTACTTATAATTTCTGATGATCAGAAAATAAATATTTTTTTATATTCATTTTTCTCATCCACTGGAAATAAACATCTTTTTTCTAGTGACACACTTCACATGACCTTGATATATTTAGCTTAGTGACTGTCACAACAAGAAATTCTAAAAATGTCTTATTTTTAGATAACTTTATGAAGTCGTTTTTATAAAAATACTTAATTTCTTTCCAGATATAAAGTCACATGACATAAATTATATTT